ACAATATTTATGACCCTGGGTTATATTTTTAAAATATAATACAAAAGGGAAAATTGATAAATTGTACTTCATTAAAATTAAACACTTCTCTCAAAAATTAATAAAAAGCAATAAACTGGGAGAAAATATTTGCAGATCATATCTGATGAAGGACTTGTGTCCAGAACATATAAAAGAACACTCAAAACCCCTAAGAAAACTCAGTTTTAAAAATGGGCAAAAGATTTGAGCAGATGAATCACCAAAGAAAATAGGAGCACAAGAAAATAGGGTCATTTGTCATTTAACAATAGGATATATTCTGAGAAATGTCACTAGGTGATTTTGTCATTGTAAAAATATTATAGAGTATACTTCTACAAATCTAGATGGTGCAGCCTACTGTATACCTAGGCTATATTGTATGGCCTGTGGTTCCTAGGCTACAAACCTGTTCAGCATGTTACTGTAGTGAATACTGTAGGCAATTGTAACACAATAGTAAGTATGTATCTAAACTTAGAAAAGGTACAGTAAAAATACAGTATTAGGCCCGGCATGGTGACTCACACCTGTAATCCCAGCACTTTGGGAGGCCGAGGCATGTGGATCACCTGAGCTCAGGAGTTCAAGACCACTCTGGGCAACATGGTGAAACCCCATCTTTACTAAAATACAAAGAAAACTTAGCTGGGTGCAGTGGCGGGCGCCTGTAGTCCCAGCTACTTGGGAGGCTGAGGCAGGAGAATCGCTTGAACCTGGCAAGCAGAGGTTGCAGTGAGCCGAGATTGAACCACTGTACTCCAGCCTGGGCGACAGAGCAAGACTCTGTCTCAACAACAATAACAACAACAAACCAAACCAAACAGTGTTAAAGATAAAAAATGTAGCAGGCACTTACCATGAATAGAGCTTGCAGGACTCCTTGTTGCTCTGGGTGAGTCAGTGAGTGAATGCGAAGGTCTAGGACATTACTGTACACTACTGTAGACTTTATAAACTGCACACCTAGGTTACACTAAGTTTATAAAAAAGTAATTTTCTTCAATAATATGTTAACCTTAGCTTTCTGTAACTTTATAAACTTTATAATTTTTTAAACTTTTTGACCTTTTTGTAATAACACTTAGCTTAAAACACACATTGTACAGCTATAAAACATTTCTTATATCCTTATTCTATAAGCCTTTTTTCTGTTTTTAATTTTTTTTTTTTACTTTTAAAAATTTTGTGAAAAACTAAGACACAAACACACACATTAGCCTAGGCCTACACAGGGTCAAGATCATCAATATCACTGTCTTCCACCTCCACATCATGTCCCACTGGAAGGTCTTCAAGGGCAGTACACAAGGAGTCGTCCTCTCCTCTGATAACAGTGCTTTCTGGAATACCTTCTGAAGGATCCGGCTGAGGCTGTTTTACAGTTAACTTTTTAAAATTTTTTTTAAGAATAAAAAGAGTACACTGTAAGATAAGCATAGTAGTAAATCAATATATCAGTAACAAGATTTATTTTCAAGTATTATGTAGTGTACGTAATTGTATGTGGTATACTTTTAGATGACTGGCAGCATGGTGTGTTTACACCAGCGTCACCATGAACACATGGTGTTTGACAGTTATGATGTCATTAGGCTATAGGATTTTTTTCAGGTTCATTGTAATTTTATGGGGCCATCGGTCATGTATGTGGTCCATTGACTGAAATGTTGTTATGCAGCATATGACTATCAACACATGAATGTCTGTGATCCATTTACAATTTTTAATATGGTGTGGGGTATGTGTCCAAGGATTTTTATGTTTTTATTTTTGTTTTTTGCATATGAAAATATCTGAATCATTAGTCATGAGAGAAATGTAAATTAAAACCAAAATGAGAAACCATTACCCACATATTAAAATAGCTAAAATAAAAAAGACTGACCAGAGCAAATGTTGGAGAGGATTTGAAGGAACTGGATGGGGATGTCTCATATGTCTCATACACTGCTGATGGAAATGTAAAATTGTACAGCTCGGCCAGGTGTGATGGCTCATGCCTGTAATCTCAGTACTTTGGGAAGCCTAGGTGGGTGGATCACATGAGGTCAGGAGTTCTGAGACCACCCTGGCCTGCATGGTGAAACCCCGTCTCTACTAAAAATTATACAAATTAGCCAGGTATGGTGGCACCTGCCTGTAATTCCAGATACTCAGGAGGCTGATGCAGGAGAATCGCTTGAACTCAGGAGCCAAGATCATGCCACTGCACTCTATCCTGGGCGACAGAGCAAGACTGTTTGAGAATGAATGAATGAATGAATGAATGAATTAATAAATAGCCAGGCATGGTGGCTCATTCTTGTAATCCCAGCACTTTGGGAGGCTGAGGCAGGTGCATCACCTGAGGTCAGGAGTTCAAGACCAACCTGGACAACATGGTGAAACCCCGTCTCTACTAAAAATAATTTAGCTGGGCATGGTGGCATGTGCCTGTAATCTCAGCTACTTGGGAGGCGGAGGCAAAAGAATCACTGGAACTAGGAAGGCGGAGGGTGCAGTGAGCCAAGTTTGTGCCATTGCACTCCAGCCTGGTGACAGAGCAAGACTCTGTCTCAAAAAAGTAAATAAAATAAAAAATAAAAATAAATAATAAATTTGTATAGCTGCTTTGGAAATTCATTTGGCAATTTCTTTTTTTTTTAATTAATTTTTTTTTTTTTCGAGACAGACTCTTGCTCTGTCGTCTAGGCTGGAGTACAGTGGCACTATGTCAGCTCACTGCAACCTCCACTTCCTGGGTTCAAGCAATTCTCCTGCCTCAGGCTCCTGAGTAGCTGGGACTACAGGCGCACACCACCACACCTGGCCAATTTTTGTATTTTAGTAGAGACGGGGTTTTACCGTGTTGCCCAGGCTAGTCTCAAACTCCTGAGCTCAGACAGTTCTCCCTCCTCGGCCTCCCAAAATGCTAGGATTTTAGGTGTGAGCCACCGCACCTGGCCTGGCAATTTCTTAAAAAGTTAAATATATACCTTCCATATGCTCTAGTAATTCTTCTCCTAGAGATGTACCTAATAAAAATGGAAGCCCGTGTTATCAGAAAGACTTCTATACCAGTCTTTCTCATATACAAGCAGTGTCAACCTGAAATAACCAAAAGGGTCAAAATCTAACCTAAAGAGGGTTTATTCAAGCACAAAGAGTAAGAATGGACCACCTGGAAACACCAGCTCCAAAGGAATGGAGTCAGCGTTCTGAAGTAAGAAAGGTAAGATTTCATTTGTATAGGCAGAGACAGGAGTTTTTAGCAGGATTTCAACACTTTTCATACAAGATTGGCACAAAGTTACAGAAATTTGGTTGGTTATACGCAGTGTTTCTTTTTGGGAAAGGGTGCGTTTAACATTTTTTACAGAGGGTGTAATACTCATGGGTTTTCTGTTATCTGGTCTCAGCAAAGCAGGACAATAAAGGGCAAATTAATCATAACAAGGGTCATTAAGAAGGCAGGAGGTTTTTGTCACTGTCATTTAATTTTCTCTAGTCATTGTGTAGAACAAGAAAAGAATGTGAGTTAATATATAATCTGAGAACAGAAGTTGTAACCATATGTACTCAGATTAGTCACATCTCTCTCAAAGCTTAACAGTATTTTTTTTAGGTTCCAACATCTTTTAAATTTTATTTATTTACACACCAACAACTAGAAACAACCAAAATGTTTACCAATAATTGAATAGATAAACCAATTATAGTCTAAACCCACCTAGCAATAAAAAGGAGTCAATTACTAAGACATGCAACAACGTGGATGAATCTCAAAAAACTGAGCTGCAAGAAATAAGCAACACAAAAAATAGTACATACTGTATAATTCTATTTATGTAACATTCCAGAAAATGCAAACTAACTTATAGTGACAGAAAACAGATCTGTGATTACCCAGGGAAATAAGGCCATGGAGGAGGGAGGAAGTAGAAAGAAGCACTAAGAAACATCTGAGGGTTTGGGTATGTTCATTATCTTGATTACGGTAATGGTCTCACATATGTCAAAGATCATATTGTATACTTTAAATATGTGCAGTTTATCGTATGTCAAATATACGATAAAAAGCTCTTTAAAAATATGAGTATTGTGATTTGTCATACATACAACATTAATCCTTCAGAATTTAGGCTTGCACTTTTTTTGTTTGTTTGTTTGTTTGTTTGTTTTTGAGACGGAGTCTTGCTCTGTTGCCCAGGCTGGAGTGCAGTGGTGCGATCTCAGCTCACTGCAATCTCCACCTCCTGGGTTCAAGCGATTCCCCTGCCTCAGTCTCCCGAGTAGCTGGGATCATACGCGCCTGCTACCATGCCCAGCTAATTTTTGTGTGTGTATATATACATATATATATATTTAAATATATATATATATATTTTAGTAGAGATGGGGTCTTGCCATGTTGGCCAGGCTGGTCTCAAACTTAGGGCCTCAAGTGATCCGCCCGCCTTGGCCTCCCAAAGTGCTGGGATTACAGGCGTAAGCCGCCGTCCCCGGCCCTTGCACTAACCTTTTACTTAAAAATCAACCCATAATCAAAACAATCGAAAAATGCCTGGATTATATTATGTCCATTTCAGATTTCCCGTTTCCCAGTAGCACCAGGTCATAAGGCCACAGCTGTCTGGATGTGGCTCTATGTCGGGTATCAAAAGACGCCAAACACAGGGACAGTGAGTGCCTTTAACTTAACTCACAAGAGGTCACAGGAGGGTGACCTCACGTAAAAGCACGCAAATGCTCAATGTGTGACTCCACCCCTCCTAAAAAGTGGTAAAGGCGTGCGATATCCTTTGTGTGCACGAAAGTACAAATGATGTAATAATAGTCCACGGCCTGGCCTTAGACTCCACATCTGCCAGGAAAATTTAACTATAGGGAGAGTGATGGAGGCGCTGGGAGCCTGGGGCTGAGAACGTGTAGGAATTGGTTAAAAAAAAAAAAAAAGTCAGTGTCTTTCTCCCAGCGTCCCACTTCCGCCTGCGTCACGCACCTGCGCCGGCAGCGCTCTTGCTTTCCTGTCCGGTGCGATCCCCAGTCACTGTACTTTGGGTCCGGCACGCTTGCCGTCTGCTTCCTCTGCCCTTACACCGGTTGCCCAGCATCCCTGCAGTTCGCGGTACAGTCTCTTCTAGGGCGCATGTATGGGGCAGAGGGGAGTGAAGTCCACAGTTCTAGAGGTAGATGGGGCGCGGGGAAACCACCTGGTGTCGGCCTTCCGCTTGCTGATCAAGAGCTCGCTTTAATGCCGCAGGCCAGCGCCCCTCACTGATAAACGATTGGGACTGGGCCTCGGCCTGGAGGGCGTTCGTCCTCTCCTTGCCCTCAGCTCATATAGGAGGAAACCGAGGCGTGGCATTGGGCGAGAACCCAGGTGCCCTGACCGCGCACTTCCCGCACCTCCGCCGCCGTGTGTCTCGTGTCCAGCGCTGGCTGGAGCGCCCCAGCCCTGGCGCGGTGTAGTTGTGAGCTGGAACTTCTGACACTGCCCCTTCCTTCCCCGTCCAGCCTGCCGACCATGCCCGCGGGCGTGCCCACGTCCACCTACCTGAAAATGTTGACAGCCAGTCTCCTGGCCATGTGCGCAGGGGCAGAAGTGGTGCACAGATACTACCGACCGGAGCTGGTGAGTGCGGGAGGGCTCATGTTTTAATTTTGAGCCAAATGCACCTCATTTCTTTGTAAATTACCCAGCCTTAAGCATTCCCTTATTAGCAATGCAGATGCTCCTGGACCACTCCATTCTCCCTGTGGCAGCAAAAGTGATCTTAAACGAAATTAGGATCACATTTGCTTTGGGCCCAAAACCTTTGGATGGTATCCCATTGCGTCTAGGGCAATGCATGGCCTGTGAGGTCTTACACAGTCTGGCCGCTGCCTACCTGTGGCCCATCTGCCACCATTTTACCAGTTCTTTCCCCTGTTAACATTCACACCTGCTTCCTTGCTGTTTCTCTAATTCATCAAACCTGTCCCCATTTCGGGGCCATTCTTTTTCTTATCCTTGGCATGTCCTCCTCCCCCCTACCCCCCAACAACTTGGCTTGGTTTCCTTCTTCAGAACTTAAAGTCTTAGCTCAAGTCTCTCCTCTAGCAATGAGGGTCCTTGGGCTAGCTCCCAAAGAATTCCTCCTCTGCGATTCCGTCTCATCCTTTGTTTCCATAGAGCACTTGTCTGCAGTTCTTTGTCTATTCATTTGTTCTTTGTCAGTTTGCTTCAGTAGAATGTAAGCTCCAGACTCTGTCTGTCTGGTGCATTCTTGTATCTCAACTGCTTGGAATGTAGCAGACACTCAATAAGCGTTTGTCGAATGAAGGATGAGTGAATATAGGTATTCAAAGGAGGGAGAAATTTAAATTAATTTTAATAAGCATTCATTAAATTAGGAACTGAAATTGAAGGTTCTTTTCAGGAATTGTAGTCTTGGGGAGGTGGAGATGAGAAAGTATGGTGCAGATGATTATAAGAATGTGCTGTTATGCTATAGGTGTGAATAGTGGTTTGGAGCACAGTATTGGGAGCAGTCATTTCTGTTTGGACTCTGCCTGGACAGGTAACACTTACAGAGAATCAATCATTAGTGTTTCTTTTTAAAGAAATTTTTATGAAAAATAATTTTAAAAAAATTAGAGACAGGTCTCATTCTGTTGCCCAGGTTGGAGTGCAGTGGTGCAATCACAGCTCACCGCAGCCTCACATTTCTGGGCTCAATCAGTCCTCCTGCCTCAGCCTCCTAAGTAGCTGGGATGACAAGTGTGCACCATCACACCTGGCTAATTTTTAAATTTTTTGTAGAGACAAGGTCTCAAAATGTTGCTCAGGCTGATCTGCAACTCCTGGCTTCAAGAAGTCCTCCCACCTTGGCCTCTGAAAGTGCTGGGATTACAGGTGTGAGCCAGTGTGCCTGGCTCCATTTGTATTTGCACTTACGTTGTATTTTTATTTTTTGAGTTGGAGTCTCACTCTGTCACCCAGGCTGGAGTGCAGTGGTGTGATCTGATTTCACTGCAACCTCTGCCTTCCGGGTTCAAGCAAATCTCATGCCTCAGCCTCCTGAGTAGCTAGGATTACAGGCGTACACCACCATGTGTAGCTAATTTTTTCTATTTTTTGGTAGAGATGGTGTTTCACTGTGTTGGCCAGGCTGGTCTTGAACTCCTGGCCTCAAATGATCCACCTGCCTCTGCCTCCCAAAGTGCTGGGGTTACAGGCGTGAGCCACCGTGCCTGGCCCATTTGTATTTTTAACATGAATTAATTGTCACTACAATTTTGAAGGTGTAATTCCTGTTTTCACGTGAGAAACAGGTTGAGAAGAGTGAAGTTGATTTCTCAAAGTCACACAGCTTAATGAGGTGATTGAAGGATCTGAAACCCAAGCTTTCTGTTTGGTATGTCTCTTTTTCGCTCCTGTTCATAGAATAATCCAGTACTCTTGTAAAACATTCAAACTGAGTTCAAGTATGTAGAGTAAAAAGTGAAAATCCCCCCGTCTTATAACCCGCTTTCTCCTGTCTGCTCCCCACACATAACTACTGTGTCTTGTTTGGTGACAATCCTTCGCCTCTTCTCACTGGTGTTGAATGCCCACTGATACGGGTTGGATATTTGTCCCTTCCAAACTGCATGCCAAAATGTGATCCCCAATGTTGGAAGTAGGGCCTGGTGGGAGGCGTTTGGGTCATGGGAACGAATCCGTCATGAATGGCTTGGTGCCCTCCCTGTGGTGATGAGTGAGTTCTCACTTTATTAGTTCACGAGAGCTGGTTGTTTAAAAGAGCCTGGCTTGCTCTCTCACTCCCTCTCTTGCCATGTGTTACACCTGCTCCCACTTTGCCTTCTGCCATGAGTTAAAGCTTTCTGAGGCCTCACCAGAAGCTGGACCAATGCTGGTGCCATGCTTGTACAGCCTGCAGAACCACAAGTCAAATAAACTTCTTTTCTTTATAAATTACCCAGCCTCGGGCAATGCAAAATGGACGAATGCACCTGTGCATGTGTGTACTCACACACACACACAGTTTGTGGAGTGTTTTTCCTTCATGTGAATAGGAGTTCATGTACACATTTCTCTGCAGCTTCCTTGTTTTGGTTAACATCTACATAAATAGATGTTTGTGTATATTAAATCTTTTTAACTATTGCATAGTATTTCATAATATAACTATGACATTTATTTGATCAATCCCTTATTGACATTTAGGTAGTATGTAGTTTTTGTACAAACAGTGCTGCAAGAGCTCTTTTTTACAACTTCAGAGTGCTTTTCTTTTAAAAAGGGTTCTATTGAGCATCAGGGATACCTAGTGGAGACAAAGTGACAAGAACCTTCCACAGTAATGCAGTTTAGTGTATAGCTTGTGCAGGAATAGACATCAGGCAGGCCTTGCAAAAGAAGGAATGCCTGGGATTTGCCCTTGGGAAATTGACCTTTGATTCACCCATTTCATTATAATTGGGAATGTGCAAGGGTTGTTACAGCAGCTACCTGTACCTTGGGAGGAGATAGAATGAAGCCACAGTCTTTAGAAGGGCCATATTGAAGGGTCTAAGGCCACCTCAGTTTGACTGGTTGGTGACATTGGCAATGAGGTATCTCTGTAGGAACTTGAAGGCCCAGGTGGCTGGCTGTGTGTCGGAAGCAGTGTGCTTCATTAACATTTATATGTTCTTTACCTATGTCTTTTGGTATTGCTCCAGCAATTACTGTCACTGTTGTTAACCACTTTGTTCTTTGTAACAAAGCCGGATCACAAGTCTTTCAATCTGAGAACTGGAAGGTCTGGGCAGAGTTGAACAGAGGAGACCATGATGACTGCCCAGACTTGTGCTTTAGTGCTGCACTGGGGAGAACTGCTACAGGTGCTTTGTTTTAGTTGTCCATCTCAGATCATCTGAATAGCAAAGGAGATGACTCTTGTAGTTCAGGTTGAAAGCTAGGAGTTGTCTTTAATTCTTCTCTCATACTGTACATTATCAGTAGATCCCATTGGATTAACCTGAAAAGTACATCCAGATGCTGCCTGCTTCTCACCACCTCTGTTGCTACTACCCAATTCAATCCACTGTCAGTCACTTTCACCTGTTGTTGTAATAGCTTCCTGACCTGTCTTCTGCCTTCCACTCTTGCTCTCCTGTGGTCTATTCTCAGCAAAGCTACCATTGTCATCTCTGTACACTTGAATGAGGACATGCCACTCTTCTCAGAACTCTCCAGTGTCTTCCCATTTCAGAGTGAAAAACACTGGAGACTTTATCTCCCCACTCCCTTTTTCCTCTGCCCTTTTCTCCCCTTAACCTCCCCGTGAATACTTTGTACTGGCTATACTGACAATCTTGCTTCTCCTTGAACGTGAAGCCACACTCCTGCCTTAGGTCCTCTGCACCTGTGGTTCCATCTGCCTGAAATGCTCCTAGGTAACTGCATGGCTGGCTCCCTCATCCTGTTTCATGTCTTTGTTCAGAAGTCATCTTCTGAACACCAGTAAGTACATAGAAAGATGCTCAGCACTATTAGCCACCAGAGAAAGGCAAATCAAAACCACAATGAAATACCACTTCACATCCACTACAATGCTGTAGTAAAACAGATAGTAACAAGTATTGTCAAGGATGTGGAGAAATTGAAAGCCTCACGCATTGTTGATGGGAATATAAAATGGTGCAGTGGCTTCAGAAAAGTCTGGTAGTTCCTCAAGCAGTTAAACATTAGAGTTTCCATATGACCCAGCAATTCCACTTTTAGGTTTATGCCCAATAGATGTGAAAACACATATCCACACAAAAACTTGTATATGAATATTCAGAGCAGTATCATTCATAATATCCAAATGGTAGAAAATCCAAATGCCTATTAGCTGATGAATGGATAGATGGTATATCCATACAATGGAGCATTATTGAGTAATAAAAAATGAAATACTGATACAAGGTACAACGTTGATGAACCCTGAAAACATTATGCTACATGAAAGAACACAGAGGACCACATATTATATGGTTCAATTTATAGAAAATATCCAGAATAGGCAAATCTATGTAGACAGAAAGAAGACTAATAGTTGTCTATGGCTATGTGGGGGAGGGTTGTATGGAAATGAAAGTGGCTGCTAATAAGTATGGGGTTTCTTTTTGGGGTAATGAAAATGTTCTAAAATGTATTGTGATAGATGCACAACTCTGTGAATACCTTCCTTGAATGCAAGGATTTTGTATTTTTTTGCATACTGCTTTATGTTTTGCATATAATAGGCACTTAATATTTTTGAATTAATAAATTAATTCCTAACGCTTATTTTCTATGCCAGGCACATGGTAGAGAGTCAGTAGATGGTGCAGGAGTGAATTTCCAAATGTGGAAAGTTTTATTCAAAGCTGTGAACCTGTCCATTGATTGCGATGCCAGCTATCCTCTGTGAGTCCTGCAGTACGTAATACCGAAGACCTTGCCAGGATGATAGACTCATAAACACAGGGTTAGAAAGGGACTTAGATCAACCAGAGCTTCTCATCATAAAGATCTATCATTGAGTAGCAAGTAGGGGAACTTTTTGTTATTTTTTACTCTTTAAAATCTTTCAGGTTACATTGAATTGCAGCCTTATTAAGGGTTAGACATTTGTGTTTTTTGTTTTATTTTTTTGCAGACCATACCTGAAATTCCACCTAAGCCTGGAGAACTCAAAACGGAGCTTTTGGGGCTGAAAGAAGGAAAACATAAACCTCAAGTTTCTCAACAGGAGGAACTTAAATAACTATGCCAAGAATTCTGTGAATAATGTCTTAAATGTGTATTTAATTTATTGCATCAAACTACTTGTCCTTAAGCACTTAGTCCAATGCTGACTGCAAAAGGAGGTGCTCAGTGGATGTGTAGCCGATACGTTGAAATTTAATTACGGTTTGATTGATATTTCTTGAAAACTGCCAAAGCACATATCATCACACTCATGAATATGGTTTGAAAGATAGTTAGTCTTGAATATAATTTGAAATAGAATATTTGTAAGTCTACTATATGGGTTGTCTTTATTTCATATAAATTAAAAAATTATTTAAAACTATGAACTACTTTCATTAATTGAATTTGCTAAGTGGAGTTATTTCTCATTGCTAAACTATTTTCAAATTCTAGATCTCTGCTAACTGTAGTAAATGAACACCAAAGTGGTGAGCTTTGATAATGCATTTTGTGGATACAAAATCATCGCCTCATCACTTTCTAGAATGAAAGGCTGGGGGCATTGCTCACCTTTTGCGTGAAGAAAAGACCCATCCCTTAGGGCCAGTTTGTGCTTAAGGGGAGGACAGACCATCACTCAGTGGACCATGTGAATGAATGGATGCAGTGGATGCTTTAGAAGTACCGCATACCTTCCTTTTACAGGTACAGAGTAGGTGGCCTGGCTACTGAGGGAAAGAGTCATGATTTGAATCCGAGTCTCCTGTAAGACAATGACTTCATGAAGGTGAAAAATCAGTTTTATGGTTATTAAAATAAAAAATTAACCTCAGGTCAGGTAAAAATGCCATCTTTATTTCATTAAGTGCTGGTTCTAAGTGACTTCCAATAAGATACATTTTCTTCCTGTTTTGAAGTTGATCCCTATTGTGAAAAATATACATTGTAGTGGTCATGGAAATGTGCCATCCAGACTCCCTAAGGAAGCTTGTTGCCCTAGCATCAAGCATGCCAGCAGCTTTCAATGGTCAGCTTCTGGAAGGATTGCCTCAGCTATGGTGGCCTTGTTCAAAGCCATGCCTCCTGAAGGGGCCCATATCCAATGACTGTTGGAAGTGAGAATAGAAAGCCCTGGCCACTTCAGCACATGAGTGGTGGGCAACTCTGATGGGCCCACCACAACTCCCTGTGGGGTTTATGGACACTGTCTTTGGATCTGCGTTGCAGCTCGACTTCTCCCTCAGCTTGGTCCCGTTTCCTTTCTCAGGTGTTGATCAAAGGGTGCGCCTTCACAGACCCTCTGCTAGACTGCACCTCAGTGTTTCTTGGAGAACCAAATCTGTAACATATATGCATTAAAAATTAAAAGCAGTACTATATTATCCCCTAATAATGATGGTTTTTAACTTAAAAGGCTGAGATAGACCAGTTGCAACCTGTTTGGTAATTAAATTAGGCCAGTTAAACAGTTTTTGTGCAAGATAGGTATGATTGAGCTATTTATTTTTATCAAAAACTGAAGGAGTATGATGCTTTCCTGCTAGGAACAATAGAAATTTAGTAATTGTAGGATTCCGAGGAGCAAAAGTGTCAGATATCACTAATTCAATGTGATCTGATGGCTTTGATTTCTACAAGTATATCATAGCAGTATTAACAATGGTAATGCATAGTGGCCCCAAAATGGGAAACATTACAAGTAGCAATTAATATAAGCCTGTATCATAAAAGGAAGCTATATATACCTTAATTACAGCATGTTTCTGTAACTGAGCTGCCATTCTACTATAAAGGAAAAAGCAGGGTGGTTTTCAGAAGACGTATACTCAAGTAGGGAAACTGGTAATAATAATTGCAAACTAATTCAAGAAAAATACCTTAAGGTAGGGGGTGGGGAAGCATGAACAGAAAAATAAGTCCATAGAGGAGTACTAGATTATCAGAAAAACTGTGAAGTCTCTAATGAAACTTTGTAGCACATAAATTAATTCCTGCAAAATTTTCTAATACACACATGATCCTTGAATATACAGCTAAGACATCTCTCTAGCCCACAGTAAAAACAACAAAAACTTAAGACTACCTTTTTAGTTGGCTCTAACAGACTAGTGAAATTAAAAATTGTTTCATAAACAAGAGTACATTTCAAAATATAGGTCAATGTGGATTTTCATTCAATGCCAATAGTTATCTCTGGTAGGATTATGGGTGATTTTTTTCAAAGACAGCATTTTTTTTTTTTTAAGTTTAGATTTACAGAAAAACCAGTAGAGTTTTTTAAGTTTAGATTTATAGAAAAATCAGTAGAGTTCCCATATACCCCACGCTGTTTGTATGAATGTTGTCATCTTAAGCTACCACGGTATGTCAGTTAAGAAACCAGTATTGGGGGCCGGGTGTGGTGGCCCAAAACTTTGGGAGGCCAAGGTGGGCGGATCATTTGAGGTCAAGTCCAAGACCAGCCTGGCCAACATGGTGAAACCCCATCTCTACTAAAAATATAAAAATTAGCCAGGCGTGGTGGCGGGCGCCTATAATCCCAGCTACTCAGGAGGCTGAGGCAGGAGAATCGCTTGAATCCAGGAGGTGGAGGTTTCAGTGAGCCAAGATCGCGCCATTGCACTCCAGCCTGGGAGACAGTGACTCCATCTCAAAACAAAAAAAAAAACAGTATTAGTAAAATACTCTCAACTATACTCTAGACTCTGGACTTTAGATTTCACCAGCTTTTCCATTTAACACCCTTTTATTTCCAGGGTACCACACTGCATTTATTAATAGTTGTCATGTATCCTTAGTCTTCTGCCATCCATGATTACTTCTCAGCCTGTTTTTCTGAGGAAAATTTTCTGGAAATTTTGAAGAATACTGTTCACATATTCAAAATATGTCTGTTTTTCTCATTAGATTGAGATTGCAGTACACTTCACATCCTATCAGAGATGGTATTAACATTGATCACTTGGTTAAGTCTGCCAGGTTTCTCCACTGCAAAGTTACTTTTTCCCTTTCCTATACTGTTTTTTAGAAGTCACTTAATCTAGCCCACATTCAAAAAGGAGAGGAAGATTAAGCTCCACCCCATGAAAGGGGGAGTATCTACATACATTTGGAAATCTTTAAGGAAATTCTGTCTTCTCCCTGTGGGAGACTTTTCGAAGTCTGGTTTTTCAACAGTCTCAAGCTAAGTTCAAATAATCCTCTTGCCTCAGCTTCCTCAGGAGCTGGGTGGGACCACAGGTGTGTGTCACCATGACTGGCTCAACCTTTTTTTTTTTTTTAAATCTTTTCTTGGGAGGCAGAGGTGGGTGGATCACAAGGTCAGGAGTTCAAGACCAGCCTGGCCAAGATGGTGAAACCCTGTCTCTACTGAAAATACGAAAAATTAGCTAGGAATGGTGGCGGGCACCTGTAATCCCAGCTACTCGGAAGGCAGAGAATTGCTTGAACCCAGAAGGTTGCAGTGAGCAGAGATGCTGCCATTGCACTCCAGCCTGGGCAAGAGTGAGACTCGGTCTCAAAAAAAGTAAAAAAGAAAAAAATCTTTTCTTCATAAGCCTGAGTTACTTCTCTAAGAAAAGAACCCAAGACACATGATTAAAAAAAAAAAAAACTCAGCCAAGTATTAGGTAGTTCTCTGCAGGACAGTCAAGACACTGAGTATTTGGGATCTTTTTTATTTTTATACACATGACAAGATTTTACATCAAGAATAGTCAGTTAAATAGTACAAATTTACATTCATGAGGAATGTTAAAAAAAATTCAACTAAAAAACCCACTTCTTCCTGTGACCCAAAATCCCACATTTTACAGTGCAGGGGAGAAGGGGATTGGTTGGGGGCATCCAAAACAAGTCTCTCCCAGAAGAAATGACGTCAATTTCACATTCCCTCTCCACACAGGATCCAAATGGTGAGAGGATAATTTACAATTCATCTTTTTCAGCTGTAGATTCCTGTTAAAAAAAAAAAACCGGAAGATATTAAAAGTTAGCAGAAAAAAAAACCTAGCTGACAGAAGGTTTGTGCATGAAACAGTTTAAATGCTAGTCTGACTTCTATAAGTTACACAGTCCTAACTTTGCCAGAACTGAAACTCTGTCTTAACTTTGCCAGAACTAAAACTCTGTCTTAACTTTGCCAGAACTGAAAATGCAAGTCACATTCTTGATTTGCTCTACCTTTGCTGTTTCTTGTTCTTCTTCATCTGTTCCCACATCCATTTCTTCATCTTCGTCTTGCTCTGTGTCTTCTGTTGTGTCTTCTGTTGTCTCTTCAGGTTCTTCTTCGGGCTCGTCTTCCACCTAAACACAACGTTTATGGGCCCATTAATGCCTTGGATTTATTTCCACTTTGCTCATTTAAATGTATAAAATCATAATTAATGCCACTTCTGTTTATTCAGAACCACAGAGTAAATCCTCTAACTAAATGAACAGCCAAGCTAACAAAAGGAGGCAGGCAAAAAGGAAAGAGGACATAAAAGGAGGACTTAGTTCCTATTGCAGTGCCTGACACTACAGGGATTCAAACATTCAATAACATTCTTTCAAAAGGTAGAAATTAGGCAAATGTCTCAAAGCTACATCCCTCAATCATTACAGGCCTATTCCGAAAGAAACAAAGCCAGCCAGCCTCTGTGGGAAGGTTGGGGATACAAACCTTTGCATCAGGGTCAATGTTCAAACTGAGGCGAAGCATTCTTTCTATTCTATCTCCATATGCTTTAGTGTCTGGTAAAAGATATCCTGACCGAAGCGTTGCTGTTTCAAACAAAACCACAGCAAGATCCAAAACTGTTTTATCATCTTCATCTTCCTGAGATGCAAGAAGATGCACTAGATTAATATTGAAAAGTACAAAGTATTCATATTAAAAGACAAGCAAGAGGACTACTGTAATACTACCTTAATTCGTCGAAGCATGTCTCTGATCAGCGGGTGTCTGGGATTAATTTCAAATGTTTTCTTCTGACTCGCATAGTAACTGTTAAGAGATAAAAATGAACATTAACAAAACATATCCAATTTTAGGGTTCATACATTTCCCTTATTCTTTCATAATTACAGAGGACAACTCTTGGTAAAAAAATCAAAATGTACTATTGACACCTGAACACCACAGGTTTGAACTTATATGCTATTTTCTTTCTAATACATATAGTCCAACCTCTGTATGTGCAGGTTCAGCAACCAAACTCGGAGAGAAAATACAGTATTCTTGGGATGTGGAATCTGCACACACACAGCTCCAACTCTTCATATACACAGGTTCCACAGGGTAGACTGGGGGACTAGAATATGTGTGGATTTTGGTAGGGGTCCTAGAACCAATCCCTCTCGTATACCTAGGGATGACTGTACTTTTCCAGTCCACTTTATCTGCGGAGTCAACCAACCTCAGATTGAAAATATTAGAAAGTGCAAAACAAGAAAAAAATAAAAAACCCGATGTAGTATAATAGCTATTTATATAGCACTTACATTGCATTGGGTATTAAAAGTAATCTACAGATTAAAGTACATGGCAAGATGTGCGTAGGTTATATGCAAATACGACATGACTTTATATAAGGGACTTGACTCTGGATTTTGGTATCCATGGGATGTCCTGGAACCAACACCCCATGGACACAAAGGGATGACTGCACTGTTTCCTTATTTAGTTTTTATAGAGACAGGGTATCACTATATTGCACAGGCTGGTCTTGAACTCTTGGCCTCAAGTGATCCTCTCACCTCAGCCTCCCAAAGTGTTGGGATTATACACGTAAGTCACGTGCCCAGCCTGTATTGCTCCCTTTTAACAGGGAAGCAGGGCAGGGAGCAAGTGGACATGGTTAGATGAAAAATGAAATGAACTACTTTATTTACTGATGAGTCCCAAGTACCTGGAGCACTGCTGAACAGATGAACTGATTTAATGTCCTGTTTGTTCCCTCTTATTCTTACTACCATAATTATAGCTCTGCCTCCCTGAGTTCAGAAAAATCTATGCAGCTTCTGGATGCTGCTCCAATAATAATACCTTCTCCATGATGCCTTCACTAATATGATTCCAAGAAAAATTAACTTCTTTTATCTGAACTCAGTTCCAAATGCATTTTGAATATACGTTCCAAATCCTTAGCATTTTACTGTTGATTGTGATTATGCTGTCTTCTCTAGTTTACAGCTCTGAGGACCGGGAGGAACCACATCTATCCCTATCCTGGTGTACCCATTATCTATGTAGGGCTCAGATTATGACTTGTCTTTTTTTTTTTTTAAATAAAAAAGAGACAGAGTCTGGCTATGTTACCCAGGCTAGAGCTAGAGTGCACTGCCATTATAGCACACTACAGCCTTGAACTCCCGGGATCAACTGATCCTCTTGCATCAGCCTCCTGAGTAGCTGGGACAACAGGAGTGAGTCACCATGCCTGGCTTTGATTTGTCATTTTCACTAGTCTAAATGTTCCAAAAGACAGAAGTTATGTCTACCTGTGACCATCAGTGCATGGACATAGTAATAAGTGTTCATGTTTGTTGAATGAAAGGTAACTTCCTGTTAATTAATCATTCCCTGAAATTAATAGGTAGACATGTTTTAAATGGTCCTTGTACTATTGCAATGGGATATCAGATAAACAGAACACTATTCTCTGCATGAAATTTATAGTTAAGAGATAAGACATATATGGAATTTTAGAATTGTGACAAAAATGGAGACTACATTTTTGAGAAAAGGTTTTAAGAAGAAGAATCCTGGCCAGGTGCAGTGGCCCATGCCTGTAATCCCAG